AACTGCTGACTCAAACATCAACATAATCTCCTCTCACATCTCACTTACAACTTTCTAAGAAAAGTGTTCTTACACATTACTAAAATAGAAATTGTATTTTAAACAAACACAGAACAATCCAAAGTAAACAACTCTGGAAAATTTAGACAATTAAACCCTACTTTATTCACGCATACAAACTACACAAATTTCTGTATAAATAATATTTTTCCTTTTACTCTGTTTGACCAGTTCTTAAACACTTGAACAATTTTGAACTGTAAATCAATAAGAAACCCAATGTATCAATGGTCAATTTCTTGCATTCTCAAACTACAAGTTTTCAAATTGTATATTAATTGTACATAAATGCATGTTGTTTTATTGAAATCTCATAATCGGTGTTGCTTACTTAATTGATTTGTTTTTGAATGTCTATATTCTAAATTGTTGTGGATTAATATGGTGAACATGCTCATAAGCTAACCATCTTAATATAAAAACCTTCTGATACCAAATTCAAACTCATAGCAATCCCAACAATTTAATAGCACAGTGATAGAGCTTATAAAAATGGGTAAAACATTAATTCTTTGGTAGCATTTCTTTCTTTCCTCTTTTTTTAAAGATACTGTGTATATATTTATTTGTTTTGGCTTTGATTGAGCTCTGAAGAGCAAGGAGTGATAATCAGTTTGTCCTTTTTAGTTTTTATATTTGTTGTTTCGGTATTTTATATTTAGTTTTATATTTGTTTATAGTTATATATTTATATATGTTTGCTCATAGGAACAAGAGTTGCAAGGCATAGTGTTGAGTCTTATGCATTGCCCCACTGAACAGCAGTATTCGCTATTACTGTATTATTAATCTGTTCCTCATGTGATTAAACCTTTTCTTTACTAATCTTTTTTTCCAGTCTTTTCTTTAGAATATTAACTAGAAACTACAAGCTTATACAAGCATTATAAAGCTTGAAAGTATTTAATGTGGGGACTTTTAAAAAATGTGATGTCCATAGCATTTTCTACTATCTGGCACTGAGACAAAGTAGATGCTTGTGTAGGGCTTGTAGCAAATAAATAAAGAAATACATGTAAATATTAGATCATGAATTATTTACTAGCATTGTAATGATAAAGCTTGTAAAACAGGTAAATATTTGACTTCTGTCAACATAACAAAAAACAGAAAAATATGAGTCAAATAACTCTTACAAGATATTTGAGTAGATTAAAAAGCCTCAATATAATGTTACCTGAAATGATGAATAATTAAATATAGTTTCCTCGACATGCAAACATTAGCATTGCCAGATTGTAAGATTCCAATTTCATCAGGCAGCTTGAATGTGGGAGGCATTTGAAAATGTGGGGAACACAGCATTTGTTACTAGGTTAATCCAGCACTGCTTACATAGTTTAAGAATCCTTGTATCTTTAAATATCAAAACTAAAGAAAAACACATTTTTTCTTTTGCAAAATTGTAGGCCTTGAAAATCCTGATCATTATCATTTGTTTTTTGCAACACTTTTTTTTTCTAGCTGTCTCATGTGTTTTCACATGCTGTGATTTGTTTGTATCTCTATCTATAAAAGGCAGGATGTGTGTACGTGTGTGTAATGAATGCACGGCTGCAATTTTCGACGAATTTGCACCAAAATTTACATGCACATGCTCCAAGTTAGCGGGAAGGCCAAGACCAACCTTGCATTTCCCAACTCCCATCGATAGTGGAAATAATCGATTTTTTTCATGCTTCTACAGCAGTTTACATGTAGTTTGCAGCCATTTTGTACTGGCCAGTGTGAGAGCCTATAGCTGGCTGCCACGAATAGGCAGGAAGATTCTATTGGCCAGTATGAAAGCCAACAGCTGACTGACACAAATGTTAACTAGCATGCTAGCATGCAAAAAAAATCGAAAAATTTGTCACAATTGGGGAAAATTTAAATCTGCATGGCACTTTACTCCAATTGGCTCATTCGCTTGCTTAAACTCAAAGTTGATTCTGATTCCGCAGAACTGGGTTGTGTGTGAAAAAGTATTTGTTGTTAACATTCTTTTTTCATTTGGTTTTTCCAGTTATGAGTCATTTTTTTTAAAGGTGATCGTTTTGTGTTCATTTTGTTTAGTTCTTTTTTTTGTAACAGATTTAATGTTTAGTATAGAGCTTAGAAAAATTTGCAGTGTGAGATAGGCAAGAAGTAAGGCATGTAGCAACATCAGCACAGCAAAGGGCACTCCTTTAAAGGCAAGGAAGGGCAAAAATATTTTAAGTCAAGTGATAGCAATTGCTGTATGAGTCATACGATTTTTGAATCAAGGACGGGCAACGCCGGACCATGCTGCTAGTATTTTTATAAAAATGTCAGATTATAAATATATACCAGATTTACCTTTACAAAATTGGACCAAAGATGGAGTATTGCTTCCATATCTGGGCAGGAACTGACTAGACCTCACTTTCCAATCTTGATAGACTTCAAAATCATTTACACAATCTCATAAAAAAAAGACTTATTTTCTGCTTTTCTACTCTGCAGTCTGTTTTCCACAGGCATAACAAGCCTATTGTTACTCTGTGGCTATTTCTATGACAAATATTCAGATAAGATTATGTTTTATTTTCACCAGTTCACTGAGATAATAGTTTTTTTTTATTTTTCATGATCCATGAGCATGGTGTCCATTACTTCATGTCAATGCATAGTGCAACTGAGGGCCAAAATTGGAGGCCTATTTAAAATATAATTCTCACAGCTGTAGTGAGCTTAAGAAATATTTGCTTTTTATACTTGGAATAACTTTATTTAATTGAAGGCTTAGGGTTGCTTCATATTGAGTCATCAGTTTCTGTACAATTAGTGAAGTGAAGTAACATCTATCCTGCTCAGTAACTAGATAGGTGACTGCTTGTAATGGATAATTGTTCGGAATTGTTAATCAAAGTGCCATCTTCAAATTTCCATTGTTTGTTATATTCATTTATGTGCAAGTACCCTTAAGAAAGGTACTAGTCCCCCCCCTGTTCTGCCCCAGTTATGGCTTTATTAGTAAGACTTACATTAATCTTTCAACTAAAATCTTACAGTCTAAAAATATTTCCTGGCTTTAAGTAACCTGTAATTGGTTAAGCTGTAGCAAATCAATGAATCAATCAAAATTTATTTAATTGATGTACGCATAAGAAATAATAAGGAAAGAGAGCTTAGAGAATTCAACACTCACAGCACATATTGAAGACAAGATAGGCAGAGAGAAACAGCAAGTAGCATACCTAATGAGCTTGTGTAAATTGATTGCAGAATATGTACAGGGAAGGATAGTATAAGGACAAACATTGCTTAGTGCTGCTAGAGATAGGAAGTTGTGGACTTACAAAACTTACATTGTCTGCTGTTGACATTTATATACATTTTCAAGACACCATGAAGTGTCAGTCCATAACATTTGGCTTATAAACTAGTGCTTTGTTATTTTCAAAACCAGTGTATCATAAATGTAGCATAAATGGGACCTGTTTTGTGATGTAGTTTTATTACATTGTGTATTGGGTGGTGTCATTTAACTTAGCCTGTACTGCAGAGGACCTGATCAAAATCAAAATGATTATGCCCATGAGAAATCAAAGTCAGCATCCTTGTAGAAATAAAATGTTATCTCCCCTTGACCAAAACAAAAAATAGAAATAAAATAATTATAAATATTCATAAGAATAGTCATATGATCTGATGAGACCCACATGAGACATTGTTAGGTGAGAAAGTCAATCTTCCTCTTTTTGCTCCTTCAAGTTATAGTAACAAGACACACAATTTCAGTCTCATAACAAACAGTTAAGTAAAAATTTATTTTGTCTTTGGTACCCAGTCTTTTGCAAACCTTGAATTAAGACTTTTGAATATAAAATGTGTACAAGTGTTTTTAGATGAAAACTTTTGTGTTTTGTGTGAACATTTTATATATTTATGTTATTGTATGTTTTATACACCTTAAACTAGATCTATGTCATATTGGCAAAACACAGTCATCTATTGCCAGTAAATGGCAATCTCTTTTTTTTCTCAAAATGGGCCAGTGCAGCCAGACACCACTGTTACAGCAGTGCAGCAATGAAAGTGATAAATGTTCCCATGATTAGGAGACTTACTTTACCCTGAAAGATGTTGCTAGCAAATAAGGGTTAAAATAAATAAAACATTTGTCACAATATTATCCCTTGTTTCCTGTTTAAGATTGGGTTTCTGGTTCCTTCAAAAGATTTCTCATTCTCTTTCACTCATAGTACCTTAATGGCATTATCACTTTGGAGCAAATTGATAAAAAAAAAAAATTTTGAAGAAAAGATTAAAAAAAATAAAAATTTCTGTTGCAATGTATCTGTAAATATAAAAATCACAAATGAACATGACACAAACATGCTGACAAGAGAAAGGTTAAATAAATTTTCATGAGCATTTAACGAAATTAATCAGTCTTAGTCTAAGTGTGCATGAAATATATGCATGTGCAATTAATTCTTATGTATATGTAAAATGATAGCAGCAGTAGGAAAAACTGGCCATGTATAAAATAAGGTTTTGAGTGAAATGCATCTTTTAAAGTTTTTGATTGAAAACAGAAAATACAATTCCTGAAATCAGGAATAAGCTGAAATATTTCGCAAGATATAAATATAGATAGAATTTCATCACTGTAATAAAATAGACAAATGGCATAAAAGGTGAAACTATGAGTTAAATTGATTGATTGCTTAGTTTTTTTACAGCTTATCAACCTTTTGGATGTTATTTAAAGCCAGAAAAAATTTTTAGATTACAAGAATTTTTTTGAGATGATAATAATTTACTGATACATGTGTTACTAATTAACCCATAGCTGGGGAGAAGAAAAGGTGGAGCCATACTTTTCTCAAAGATATTTATACATAAGTGAATATAAAGAAGCTGACTGGAATTGGAACTCTCCTATTTCCAATTCTGAGCTATTATCCATTACACTGTCTGCACATTCAAGTTTACAGCACCTTGTATTCCCAAGTGGTCTCCCATCTAGGTGCTGACCAGGCTCAACATTGCTTAACTTCAGTGATTGTACAAGAGCCAGTATTTCAACGTGATAAGGCCATAACCCAACTATGATTTAAAATAAAAGCTGTACTATTATAAAGTTGTTAGTGTAATGACTGATAAGAATACAACACTAAATCTTCCATTATTGTTTCTTCACTTTAGGACTTCAATTAATGTTGGCTTTCCTGGGTATGATGATAAACTACATCCAGCAGCAAGGCCTCTGATTGGGAAATTGGAGGTTTTGAGGTGTGTGAAACCACCTCTTAATTGTTGTTATTGTTCCCAGGTCCACCCTGACCTGGAGTGGTAGCACCTGTTAGGGTCCCAGCTATGGGTGAATAGTGAACCTCCCCAAACGAAAACAAAACACTATGAAAGTATAAAAATACATTTTTATAGTAGAAATAGCAGCAATACATTTTTCTATAAAAAAAATTAGCAACAATACATATAGTAAAATTAGCAACAATATGCACATACTAGCAAATTGTAGTGACTTCACTCAAATCCATTTAAAATGCTCACAAACAACTAATATAAAAGAATTTTCATGACATTAATCCATACAATAATCTTAAATTTCTTAAATCAAACTGTATTCCAAAATATAACTTCAACAAAACTACAACGCAAAACACACATCACCTCTAGTAATCATGTTTACACAAACATGTATATGCACAAAAGCTGAGTATTTACCATGTAATCAATTGTGAAATCAGAATAACATATTTTTATCACTTCCAAGCTCTCAAGAAAATTAAATTTCAGCATTAAATGACCCATAAGGAGTTGATATTCTGGTAAACAGACAAATCAATCAATTAATGTTGTCATGCGGGTGTGTGCTTTTAGGAACTTTCTTTGAATGTTGACCTTCTTCTTGTGAGGATGTAACTCTGGCTTTTCCCTCTTTGGTGGGGCACTTATATAACTTCCTGTTATCAAGTTATTCCACATGTACACATTCTAAGCTCAGCCTGGTCAACTTCTTGTTTACATGTTGTAACAACCACTAATATCATTTTAGGCCCAATTCTGGCTATGAAGTCACCTTCCTGATCAACTTTCTAATTCACCTGGTTGTTTTGATGTTCTGATGTGACAATGGGTGTAAAGCTTACTCAGGTATCTCAGGGTGAGCCCAGTACATATTGAGGTCACCACAGATCAACTTCTCTTAGTATAAATGTTCCTTATGGATAATAAATTTTATTTAGACCTCTGTGAAGGCAGATAATGAAGTGGCAATTTTAGTATGAATCTGAATATTAGGAGTAACCATCCATTTATCTTGCGAGATAAAGGTAGCATCTGTTTGGTCAGAATTAAGTCCTTTGGGAGTGAAACTGGAGTGACTTCTCTAAAGCACAGGTCTGGGTGATGATATATAGAGGCTGTGCACTGCCCAGACTACATTCCCTCACCCTAAGCTGTACCAACAAGATCTAAAAGAATACAGAGCTTTTGGGAGATAGCTTGGTTGCAGAAATTGCTGAAGAGATGTCACTGTTGACAGTCAACCACCTTTGAGGCTATACTCCAAGTTTTCTTTTTGGATTTACTTTCATAGCCTTTTCCATTTTGGGATATGACTGCAAGGCAGCAGAGTTTTAAAATTAATGTTTTCCTTCCCTTAGATGGACTACCTTCCTATGCTGTTGCCCTGCATCTACCTGAAGCAGCTGGTTATGAGGCATCACTTTTCTGTGTCTGCCCATTGTCTGGCTTGGAGCTGAGCTTAATTGTCAGAGGCTATTTAAGATGCCTGCCATGGCAGCATTTTATAGACAGTGGGAGCTTATCCCTACTATTACCTTCAGCTATGACTACCTTTGCAACATATATAATGTATGTATATAAACATTGTATTTTAGAATTTAAAAGAAAACGGTTTTTTTTAATATATAATAAAACAGTACATAAGTAAACAAAAGCACTAGAAAAAAGAGAAAGATTACAAAGCAGTGCATAAATAAACAAACACAAATATAAAAAAAAGTCTGTTAATTTTAGAAAAAGATGGCAGAAATAAAAACATAATCTGAATATTAAATTAATAAACTCCACTTACATAAAGTGGTTATTTGGACATTTTGATGATTTGTTTTTTGTTTTTTTTTCATTATTTTTGATTGATTTGTTCAAGCTGTGAGCAGTTTTCTCTTTGTACAGAAATTTTGTTCAACTAAAAATTAGCTTGAAGCTGTCTTCTATATTGTACTGTATAAATTAAGTATAAAGTTCATAAAATTAATAATTATTAATATTATGGACATGTGTGGTTAGAATATTCCTGCTCCAACCATAAAACTGGAGTTTAAATCTTACCATTGTCATTTTGTCAGAGAGATAACATCTTGATGTTACCATTCTGGGGAGATGGTCCTGGTATGAAATTAAGTATAAAGCTTGTAAAATTAATTTAATTGATATAATACTAAAACTTTAATCTTGTGTATATGTATGTGTGTTTCCTTAAATGATACATATTATCCAAACAAATTTAGAACGTATTGTACTTTGAACCCCAGTTGAATGCAGTGCCAAATTTCATTAAACTTAGACATGTGATTCTTGAAGTAAGGCAGTTTTTCTGGCATTTTTAATAGTATATTCATTATTTGTTTTCAATAGACATTCTTATATCAATCCATGTATATAAACAAACACTTGGATATTGTATTCCGACAATTATGTGTGTGAAAAATAAACATTCATGATACATTATAACAACATTATTAAATGAATTTAAATATGCCTAACACAACATATTTATACAATTAACTACACCACATGAGAACATTTTTTATAAACAAACATCTTGGATGTTTGGCAACTACTTGATAGGTGAAAATGCTCTGTGAGTGTCATTGTAAAATGTAATCTGGATGACTGGAAGATTGTGATGGTAAATAAATAAATAAATAAATAGATGCATGCTGGTTTGCTGCCACTACATATTTTGAAATAAGTAATAAACAAGTATGTATAATAATCAAATTATTTTGAAAAAAATTACCTAGAAAAAAAATGAAATGAAATGCACAAAAAGGAGGCATGAATAATTTGTTATTTCAATAAATATGAATCTTCCTAAGCAAATGACCTTCACCATTGAAATTTATAATATGGTCAATACAAAAATTGGTATAAATTGCCACCCTGGGGCTATATTAGTTGAATGGAAATACCTTTAGTGTGATATCAGTTTGCAATTACTGTTGGATTACTTTTAAAAGCATTTCATGATACAAAATGATGAGTTAACAATATTATAAATTTTATTATTAATTACACATACTTTAATTTTTACTTGTAATTCAAGTTATTGTAATAATTATTAATACTCACATTATGCAATATTACTTGGGTCAAATGCAATAATAAATGGAAAGTTTCCAGAATTTTTGAAAAAATGCAGTCTCTGCTACACAGAAGAACAAAAAAAAAAAATTTTCAACATATTAAAATTATTATTATAATATCATTGAAATAAATTTAATAGTTTTAACAGTTCATATATTGATACCCTCAATAACAATTAATTTTTCATAATTTATATTAAACATTAAAAAAAGTAAACATTTTCCTCAATGTAATTCACTGCCATGTAGGAGGACCAATATTACACAACAGTTCAATACATTTTTCTTTGTATCTAATGAAATTTTCCTGCTTCTTAATACTTTCCTTAGCTTTTAGAAGGCAGTTTTTGCTATTTCAAATCCTCCTGATTTCAGTGTCACATTTTCTGTGTCCTCTGTTAAAAAATTTCTGAGATGTTTAAATTTGGTGTGATTTAGGTTTTTTTTCAATCTCCTAGATATGTTTAAAAAGCATTGTGCTGTTCAAGTATTTACTATATGTGAAATGTTTTGTATGTGTAGTTTCTTTGTTTCCAGGATTCTTCAGTTAGTCCTTTATATATTTTTTCTTTATTATCTTCTAATTTTAAAATGGCTTGTTATATTACATTGTTCTGCAAGCATTGCCACTTGGGAGATATTCGTTCTTTTTTCTGTGGATTTGATTTGTGCAGGTGGTTTGTTGGTTGTTTTCCTGTTGTGCTTTTTATTATTATAAGTGTCATGTTCTCAGCACAATGTTTATTGATAGTGTGTGGTTGGAAGATGTGTGCCTCTACAGTGGTTTGTCATTAGGTTTTCTATGTGATTGATATATATCTTTTCTTAGATTGAAGCTAACATCTTAAAAAATATCTTTTAGGTTGCTTTTTATGTCTGTCAAATTCCATATTTTTTATCATTTTTAGGATTGTTTTTCTGGTTTTGTCTGTGATTTGTTTGTTACAGTTTCTTAAGATTATGAGGCCATTGTCCCTGTAGAGGCCTATATAATTTTTACTGATTATTTTACTTAGTTCTGCAGAAAATATATACCTATGAATTCGCAAGTCTCTGCACCATCAAAACTTCCCATTGCAATGTCAAATGTCCTTTCTTTCTTTATCCATACATTTTCATTGTCAAATAATGGTGATTTTTCAGGAGTGTTTTATTTTTATTTGTTCTTTCTAGTTTTGTCCACTATGATAAGTACGTTAATTAAATTGTTTATCTTAGTTATATCTTCTTTTATTTTATTTTATTTTTTTTGGAAGGCATCTAATTGTTTATGAAATGTTATATTTCCTATAAGTTATTTAATTTTTTCTTGAAGTTGTCTAGTTTTTTGTTTAAAAAGAAATGCGTTTTTTCTATCTCATTCTTTTTATAAAGCTTTCTATTTTTCTATTAAGTTTAGTTTGAATGTAGATGGTGATATACAGGGTATATTTTTTAGTGAGTAGTCAAGGTTAAACTTTTCTGTGTCCATGATAGGTTATAAATGCAGCGAAAATGCTCTACTGTTTGTCAGGAGCTAAATATGATATGGATCCACAACTATTTCCAACTATTTCATTAGAATAACTCAAAATATAACTATTACCACCCACCAAAATAACTATTAGAACAATACAATAGACTACCCACAATGCATCACGGACCAGTATATATAAACAGTTGAGCAAAAACTTGACACATATAGC